ACGCTTAACAGTTTATTGGTACTTAAACTAAGATCAACTACTGCTCAAAGTCAAAATTAACCCCAAGTTCCACGATCATCGGATGGAGGCAAGTCGTACATGCTGCTCAATTGCGGAGCGGCAGCTGGAATAGATGGAGCCGGAGCGGGTGGTGGTGGCTAAATTAGAAATATTTTAAAAGCACTTGTAACATTTGAAACTTATCAAATCAAAAGCCTCTTATCGTACCCTTCCTTATAAACGAACCTCATCTCCGGGCACAAAGTCGTACTGTGGAGGCAGCGATTGTGGAGGCAGCGATTGTGGAGGTGGTGGTGCCGACGAAGAGGTTTGCTAAAATTGTGTATTAAAAGTACAGAATTAGCGATTTATGGAATTTAAAAATGTACTCTTGTAAAACCAACAATGATAGGTTGCTTGGATGGAGTGGGTGGATCGTCTTTCCATTCATCATCGTTATCCGGTTCCTCATCACTCGATGGAGCACGACGGAGTCCTGATTTGAGCGCCGCGTTGGCCGAATTGGAAAATGATGGAGGTGGCGCTTGTGGAAGCACGGCGACGGGAGCCTGTGGTACGGGTGCCTCAGCGGGTGGTTCCTAAAGAAATTTGCATAACAATCATAAAATCCCAAACCAACTTCATAATACTGATTGACAACTGGTGGTGAAGCGGCGTGGACTGGCTCGGGAGAGGCGACTTTTGGAGTTGGCATTACAGAGATCGCTCCTGGAGCCGGGCCCATCCTCTTCGGAGCAGCATTCATTTCGCGAAGCTAAAAAAATTAAATGTTGATGAAGATGATAAAATATAATTCCTAGAGGTAGTTTTTAATTAGTAAGTTAGCATTTTATGTTTTATAAGTGCATACATGCTGAATTTCACATTTAGGTAATAAAAACTTTGCAAGACATACATGGCGCTGCCGTTCCTCTTCCTCGTTGTGTTCATCGCCGCCTTGCGTAAGTCCAGCATCTTCTCGCTTTTTCCATTCCTCTTCAACTCTAAAACAGAAGCAATAAGTTGAGTATTTACTTGGCATGCTAAGCTTTAATGAAGTATGATATGGTACTGACAACGTTTCTTTAAGAACCAAAACCGACCGTCGTTGTCGTTCCTCTTCATCATGTCGTTGTTTCTCACGAAGCGCCTCGTCTTCCTTTCGTCGACGCTCTCGTTCAGCGGCCACTCGATCAGTTGACTAAAAAATTTGTGTAACTTCAAAGTTAAAGTTCGACAACTTACATCTTGAGCTGACATTTGTTCAAAGCGTGCACGGAGATTCGAAGCGTTGCCTTTCTCTAAAATCAATAAGGATAAAGAGTAAACTGTATTTTCCTAACCGGCAACTTGTGGTTTCTCCCGAGCGAACTTTGGTGGCTCCGGTGCTCCACCGCGACTCTGTTCATCATTCGAGTTGACCTTCTTGTTGTGCAATTGGCTCTCGTGCTTGCTCAATTGCTCGTGATGTTCGAAACCGACGGCCGATTTGTCCTGACGATCACTGTCCACACCAAAAGCACCACCGAAGCCTTTCTTGTAGTCTAAATTTAAAATTGGATAAAAGAAGTACTAGGCTTAAGCTTAAATACTAGGCTCAATTTCAATGAACTTAAGTTCAGCTTTAGAATGCCTAAATAGTACAAAAGCTGTGTTACTGCTCCAGTTTAACACAAAAACCCTTGCCAGTTTGCGATGCATGTGGTGCCACTTCGCTCTTATTTTCCCAATTCGCCGCCGATTTGTCTTGTCGATCCGTTTGAACGCCAAATTTCCCGCCAAAGCCTTTCTTGTAATCTGAATAGAGTTCAATTTAAGCATAAACTCATTTCCTTTACCAGTCTGACTTTCGTGCGCGGCAAGGGACTCCCTTCTCGCCCCATCCAACAGCCGATTTGTCTTGTCGATCCGTTTGCACTCCATATTTGCCGCCAAAGCCTTTCTTGTAATCTAAAGAAAACTTGTTTAAACATGATATCATCTAAACTAATATACTAGTTAGACCAAGACCTTAAACAGTCTTAAACAGTCAAAATTTTAAAATCAACAAACCAGTTTGGCTTTCATGAGCTGCTAGTGAAGCCTTGTCTTCCCATCCAACCGCTGACTTGTCTTGTCGATCCGTTTGCACGCCGTATTTGCCGCCAAAGCCCTTCTTGTAATCTTAAACATATGAAAATTAACGTGTCAACACCACAAAAACGAACCAGTCTGCGATTCGTGCGGAGCGACATTTCCCTTTTCTTCCCACCCGACAGCTGATTTATCTTGTCGATCCGTCTGCACACCGTATTTTCCACCGTAACCGGAAGCCGCGTCTAAACGTAAAACATTGTCTGAAACATTTTAAGTTTAACCATTATTTCACATTCATGCAATCGAAAAAGGTCGTTTGTTTAAAAAAAGAATCCACTCGGTGATTCAAGAGTCCATTCTGAATGGCCAAAGTTTATAAAGGTTAATGAGTAGTCTAATAAAACCTTTTTCTTATTTGTGAAAGAAAAAAAAGGAGAAGCACACAAAAATGAAGTAGTTCCGTCGTTTTTAGCTCATGCTCATCCCCATTCACTAAAAAACCTTTTTGGGACTGGTGCAGTGAGAGCTTGTGCGCATAGGACCAATCGGCCGCGCTTTGATCTTGTCGATCCGACTGCACGCCGAATTTACCGCCAAACCCGTGTTTATAGTCTAGAAAAAAGCGTTTGGGATGAAGCTTTCGATGGTAAATTCTTTAATTCACAAAGATTTTTAAAGCTTAAAGCTCTTTCAACGTACCCTTCTGACTGTCATGCTTGCTCAGTTCGACCTTATCGTCCCATCCAGCGGCCGATTTGTCCTGTCGATCTGTTTGAACACCTAAAATACAAAAATTGTAATCCGTATATTTTTGTTGCAATTTCTGACATTTTTATTTTTCAAAACTAACACTTTAAATCGTTTTCCTAATGTACTTACCATATTTTCCACCGAACCCAGTAGCGTAATCCTTTTGCGAGGCGTGCGGGTCGACTTTCCCCTTGTACTCAAACGTCTCGGCTGACTAAAGTGGAAAATTTGATCTCGAACTGTTTGCAGAAGCGTGTTATATTTATCAACGAACCTTGTCCATTCGATCTTGTTGAACTCCAAACTTTCCTCCATAACCATCGCTCGCTTTGGGCATCGTGGCGAGCTTTTTCTCTCGCTGCGTCTCATCAGCCTAAAAAGAAAACATTTGTTAGGTAAGATATTTTAAAAAGTTGGCCAAGTTAATTTACCAAGATTTACATTATTTTTACATCATTACTTTCTTTCAAAGTTCAAGGCTTACTTTCAAAGCTTCTTGTCGCAGTTCGGAGAGATTGAGCGACTCTTGATGGCCACTTCCTTCAATCGTTTTCGATCCCCAGCGTTGCTCCTTTTCGGAGACGTTGTTCTAAGCAAGAAATGTCAATGTCGTTTAGGTTAAAAAGGTAATTTTAGCAATTTTTCAGGAATCACTCCAGAACAAACTTATTAAAAGCAGTCATATCTTAAAAATTTCACTCAAATGAAATCAAAAACAAAATTCGTAGTACGAATTTCGAGAACCTTATTTTCCTTTATAATGTTAAAAAAATTTAACTCACCACAAAGTCGGGATCGGTATCCCAGTCGTCGTCATCGATCTTCGCCGGCACAACGGGCTTCGGCCCGATCTTCGCACGCCATAATGGATCCATCTGAATCATAAAATTATACAAAAGAACAAGCATAAAATTGAAAAAAGAAACAATGTCAAGGGCAACTTATTAAAAGTTTGTTTAAAAAGTTCACAATATCAGGTTTTGCATTTCTTGCAAATTTTTATCCTGTAAGTGAGTAAAGTGGTAATAGAATTGGTGTAAAGCTCCAGGTTATATACTGCTCACAATTTTATGACTTAACTCTAGCTCCAAGAAACAAAAGATTGATGGTTTTAGACAAAAAAATCAAAAACATTGAGTCAATGAGCGCATTTCGTGACTCATCTCAAGAGAAAAGCCCTTTTTGTTGTGGCTATTTCGTGCTCGTGCCGGCCTTTTTCCGGACCATTTCGCAGCCGATGATGCGTCGCGTGTTGAAGAAATCTTTCTTTTGAAAAGACCGAGCAAAGTTTTGAAAAGGAACGCGACAGATGTGCATAAAAATTGTTATTATTTGTACGACTGTTTATAGATTTCTTGATATTCATTTAAATACTTTGGACGTTAGCTGAATATCTTTATATAATAATTTTGTGCTTTTTATTTTTAATTTTGTATCTAATATTTTTCTCAAATGTAGTTTTTCTAGGGTAATTGATGGCACTGATCACGAAAGAAACATTTTGAAGTTATATTTTCAATTAAAAAACATGTATTGACGTTATATTGAGTAGTTTGTGACCCTTAAGAGGGTCATTTGGTTGGGAATTAGCCAGGCGCCTACATTTTTCTGGCTGGCCTTATTAAACCCTTAACTTGATTTTTTAACAAGTAAAAACCAAGTTAAAGGTACATGCAGAGTTTTTCAAAACAAAGAGTTACTCAAATACATGAGGTTTTTTAATTAAAAACATAACTTAAAAATGTTTTTTCGTGATCAGCGTCATGCATTATCCTAGAAAAACTACATTTGGGAAAATGGAAAATTTTAAGTGCCCCCCAACTGACTTAGTGCCTAACTTTCTCCTAAGTAGGCCAATCTTTATGATTTTGGTGTCATTTTGTAGCTCTCAACAAGTGCAACAAAGACTCAGTTGCGCAAAATAGCAACCCCCACTTTTTCATTTGCTTAGATTTTCTGTTTGGGCTACTGCTTTCTGGTTTTAAGTGTTCTGTTCCAATTTAAGTGCAACAATCAGCTCCTAACTAGGGTGCTAAAGAATTCCTAAGCGAACTATGAGCCTTTTATTTTATTATTGAGAACATTTTTGATAACGTTACCAATAAGATCGTCTTTTCATGCATTTGTTGAGCTTTTCCTGCATTTCTTAACTTCTTTAAGCAGAATGGACGATCATGACGTTGACATGGATAACGGCGGCTCGGCGCATTACGGGCACAACGGAAACGACCGCTATCGTGGTGGAGGAAACGATGATGGAATGGATGGCGGTGGAGGGGAGGACGACTACTATGGCGGAGATGGAAAAGGAGAACCCCCCACACGATGACGATGACGAGTATGGCGGCGGATTTCCTCCCGGCGGCCCACCATTTCGTGGACGTGGAGGCTTTCGGTGGGGGTTTTTTTGTAGTCAGTAAAGCATAAGGCCCTACCCTGGCGACAATGGAATACGTGTCGTTGTAGCTCATTGGTAGAATTCCGGCGCCGACCATGTTTTGTGTTCCCAGCCCCAACCCATAAAAGGACCCGCGTGTCCAACTAGTATAGTAGGAATAGTGGAACTGCTAGTTCATAAATTTTTGTCATAACCTTGAATTATAATTACAGTGGAACCTCGCTAGAGCAATATTAACAGAAGCCCGTAAATCATAAAGTTTATATGTGTTTGCCTGAATTGTAGCATGGCACTAACGAGCACTTCAAAATAATGAAAGCTTTTATTTAACTTTTTTTTAGTGGTCGAGGCTGGCCTCCTGGTGGCCCCGGTGATGATGTTCCGTACAATGGACCAGCTGGTGGGCCGCCTTTTCGTGGAGGACCCCCGCATGGCTTTCGAGGAGGATTTCGTGGAGGAATGGGTGGACCGCCAGGCCCTGGAGGACCTGGAATGGGACCGCCGGGTGAAGAGGGATTTCCACCTTTCAGAGGTGCCCATTGATTCCCTTTCAAAAAAATGCTTTTATCTAGTTGTTTATTGACTTTATGTTGAAATTTTAGGACGCGGTGGCTTTCGTGGCGATTTTCGAGGGGGACGGGGCGTCGCTTTTACTTCGCGCCCAGCTGGACCACCAGGAGGACCGCCTGGAATGTGGCGAGGAGGACCAGGACCGTACAGAGGAGGCCCGCCCGGACGATTTGGATTCTTCAACGGTCCACCGATGATGTCAGCTGGCGATCGTCTGAAAAAGGTAGCATTTTGTCGAAGGGAAATACAAACTTCATCCAGATGAGTCATTTTAACTTTAGTTGGCTGGTTGTCTACCGACGGAAGAGCTTTGGGTCGAAACGAAATCGCCGGAGGGGAAGGTCTACTTCTACCACGCTGTGACAAGGGAGACTGCATGGGAGCGTCCAGAAGCTTCGAAGATCGTGTCGCAGGAAGAATTGACTGAGTTGATTGCGCGCGCTACTGAAGAAGAGAAAGCTGAAAGAGAGCGAGGTGAGCTTTTTGGCGTCTATGGCGGTAAAAAAATAAGAGAAGAACTTTTTGAGTATCCCGTAGGTAAGCGGGGTTAGGTAAGTTGAATTTTCGGGGTTGAACATTATACCAAAATTGCGCTATTTTGGCTTAAAACATTACCCGAGGTGAGCGGGATCGGGATCATCAGGTATTAAACTTTGCGATCCCCCTTATCCTGGAGATGTTGGAATGGAGGCGATCTCCAATTGGAAAGGTTACCATTTTTGGCTTATGAGATCAAATTGTATAATTCGCACAGAAAGAATAAATAAAAAAACAACGATGTAGATGTTTCAGCTAATATAGATTCTTATTTTCTCTAATGGATATATTGGATGTGTCTTTTGGTTGGATGATGAGAGAGGAGGACATCGATTAGTAACAGGAAGCTTGTGTATTTTTTGGCCGTAAGGTTTTACTTTACTCCTTGACAGCTTTGTGCAAGAGTGAAATGTCTTAACCGGAAAACTTACACCAAACAAATTGACAAAATAAAGCTGACTGGGATAAAGTAAAGTCTCACTGCCATCCAATCTTTTCAATCTGAAAGAACTCGTAACAATTTTCTTTGTGATTTCACGACATTTTCAAAGAACAAATAGAACAGTCTCTCATTCGAGCACGTTATAGTCGTCGAGCGCCAATGTCAGCATGGCTGAGATCTTCAGAAGAGTACTCTCGGGGCGAATCCACCCACACTCTCACTACGCATTTTCTTTCGTAATGTTCCTTTTATAAAGATAAAAATATCAAATGTGCAAGTGTTCCCGTTTTTGAGATTAAGGCGCCGCGTTCTTAGCTTTAGCCGTTAGGGGGTCCTGGTTCAGTGATTGTCTAAATTTATTAACTTTCTCTTTTTAGCTATGCCACCAATGATGCCACCAGGAGGAGGCCCTGGTTATCCACCAATGGGAGGTATGTCCAGGAATTTTGATGCAATGGTCTAACTGTTTTTTAGGTCCACCTTATGGTGGAGGCCCTCCAGGGAAAGTTGACGACGCTTGGCAAGAATTCACAGCTCCAGGTACCGTTCGTATTCCGTTGGAAATCTTAGTGTTAAATTTAGATGGACGAAAGTACTACTTCAACGCGATCACTCAGGAGAACACATGGGATAAGCCGGCTGCACTGAGGAAGCGAGAAGGTTAAAAGCAAAATTTTGGATTTGAAGAATATAATTTAGTTGACACTGAAGTACCACTTGATGAAGTAACTTTGGCTGCTAGAGCTAAAGCCCAACAGGCATTGGCTGAAGTGGTATGTGTTTTAACATTTGCTATTAATTTTTTTGTTTAGCAAGCGAAACTCGCTGAAGCTCAAGCAGTGAAGGCTCGTGAAGATGCTAGACCAACTACTACTGTTGTTGCAAAGGTAGAAGCTCAATGTGAATGTTATAAGGGAAAACTTTAGACTCCACAAGACAAGTCGAGGCCAATCTCGAGTACGCCTATTTCTGGTACGCCGTGGTGTGTCGTTTGGACTGGAGACACGAAGGCAAAGAGTGTTCTTGAAACTTATTTATTGATTTTAGGTCTTCTTTTTCAATCCATCTACTCGCACTTCTGTCTGGGAGCGACCACCTGAATTATACAATCGTGCCGATGTTGATAAGTTGATCACCGAACCGCCAAAGACAGATGGTAGGGGTCTTTCCATAAATAGATTATAACTTTATTTTAGGCTCAGCTCCACCACCAAATCAACCACAGCCGGGTGATAGCGATGGAGAAAGCGATGAGGCTAATGATGATCACCATGGACCACCACAAGCCAAGAAGAGCCGACAGGAAAAGAAAAGGGAAGCACAACTGCGACAACAATTGGCGGCAGCTGAAGCAGCGAAAGCAGCTAAGGTGTGTTTACTCACTCAATAGTGCACAATAATCATACTCAATGCAACCCAGTTAATTTTTTGTTTAGCAACCAGTGCGCCAGATGCTCGACAAGCAACCAGATCCCGCTATTCAGGCTGAACTCGAGGCTCAAAATAAGAGAAACCAGGTATTGTGAATTTGTAAAAGATCTTCTTCAGCCATTGCCTAGGTTCCATTGGAAGAGCGATTGAAGCACTTCAAAGATATGCTCGTTGAGAAGGATATTGCCACAAATAGTACATTCGAGAAGGTTTGTTGTTGAATAGGGTGCTGTAGTAAATGTTTTTAGGAATTGAGCAAGATTGTCTTCGATCCACGCTACCTTCTGCTTTCCGCCAATGAGCGCCGAGCGGTCAGGAAAAATTTTGAAGCATCTAAAGTTAATTTTAGGCTTTCGAAGCTTTTGTGAAGGAGAAAACGGAGAAGGAGCGCACAGAAAAGAAGAAAAAAGCCAAGGAAGCAAAGGAGAAATTCCTAGAATTGCTGAAAGAGGCGGAATTGCACGGAAAGTGAGTAATGCTTTATATTTTTGATGCTAAACTATTACAGGTCATCTTTCTCGTCATTCTCTTCGAAGTTTGGCAAGGACACTAGATTCAAATCAGTTGAAAAGATGCGTGATAGGTAAGGTTTTGGTGGACGTATAAAATTTGAATACGATTTAGAGAGGATATGTTCAACGAGTTTGTTGGCGAGTTGCACAAGAAGGAGAAGGACGAACGCAAGGATAAGAAAGACAAGGTAAATCTGCAATAATCTGATAACCAAATCTGAAATGTTTAGGCGAAGAAAGCTTTCTTGGAGCTGCTTAATGAGCAAAATGGTCTCACGCGCAAGTCAAAATGGAAGGAAGTGAAGAAGGCGCTTGAAGATGATGAACGGTAGAGGATTTTGCAATAACAAAGTATCGGAGTTTTAGTTACAAAGATAAGTATCTCGACAGTTCTCTTCGTGAATCATTGTTCAAGGATCATGTGGATAAACTTGCTGATGAGACACTTTCAGTTAGTTTTAAACATTTGAAGCCTTTAACGCTAAATCATGACAGGATCAAGAAGAGGAAGCGGCTCGCGAGAAACGACTTGCAACTGAAGCGGCCATTGCTAAACGGCAAGAAGAAGTGGAAGCCGAGCTGGGTGAACAAATGCAAGAACGACGCAAGGAACTTGAGCGCCATAAGAAAGAAGAACATGAGCAGACTTTCAAAGCTCTTTGCAATGATTTAGTGAGCTTGATTTTAACCAATTGAAACAAAAGAATAAAATAAAGAAATTTTTACGACTAAATTTAGATAAAATCGGCTGACATGTCATGGCATGATGGAAAGCGAGTGCTCCGAAAGGACAATCGTTATGAAGAATGCGATCTCTTGGACAAGTCGGACAAGGAAAAGCTTTATGGTGAACATCTGAAGTATGTTTTGATAATAATATTTGAGCATTAGTTTTAATTCAGGACACTAGACAAGAAGCGAAGAGAAGCTTTCAAAAAATTGCTCACCGAGCACGAGGAAATTGATCACGGCATGAGGTATTTGGTTAAGATCAAGGTTAATACAAGAAGTTTAGATGGAAAGATGCTAGAAAGATCATTGAAAAGGATGAAGTCTTCCAGAAATGTCTTGGGCAACTCTCCGAAAGAGTTCGTTAAAGTTGAGTTAGACAACTCTAAAAAGAAAATTCAGAAAATCGAGCGTGAATTCCGCGATTGGGTTGAGGAGAAACATGATCAAGCTGTTCGTGACTTCAAGGACTTGTTGAAAGTTTGAAGTTACGAGTTTCTTGTGGTAAAATGTGTTTTAGGAAACTCCAATCATCACCTTTGAAAGTAAGAAGAAGATGGAGGACAACGAGCAACATTTGAAGGATATTCTAGCAATCCTTGAGGTGGTTTGAATGACAATGATGAACTGAACCTTTAACAATTTGCAATAGCGTTTATTCTTTAGAAAGACAAGCGCTACTTGGTGTTGAAAGACTCTGGCTCGGAGCGTGATCGCATGCTGGAAGAATTTGTGGACAAGTTGGCTCGCTCTGGTCCTCCTCCACCACCCACGCAACAGGAGGGACGCCGTTAGATGAAATTCATTTGTTTTGGGTCTACTTTGTTGTTCACACTACACTTAAAATGTTGGTTTGCAATATGTTTTGTTCTTTTTCTGGCTGTCCCATTCCTCCAAGGTCTCTTCATACATTATTTTCATGTTTGTTTCACGTACAGTGTTGTGTTCTTTTACGAAAAGTTTCTGATTTGGTTACATTTTTGCTGTTGTTGCCGAACACTAGTTGTTTTAATATGTTGTGTAGGTCAATTTTGAGGTTATTTGTTTCTTTACCGAGTTAAATAAATTATTGATCAAATTTGTGGAGGGAAAAGTGCGAGGCAGGCTTACACACAATTGCATACATGAAATGACAAGATTTGCAGATGAACATTCACACAAACAAAGCATTTTTTTTTTACTAAACAATCGTGATTCGTTTTTTTTTGGTTTTGTAATGCGCAAATGAATAGTTGAAGCGACGCGAAAATACATTGCATTTACAGAGTTTGAATTAAGGTTTGTAGAGAAAAAGTTTTGTTTTTTTCTTTTTGAAATGAGTGGCGCTTAAAGAGCTTTTTGTGTTTTGAATTTGTGTGTTTGAAGGAGATTTATGCACTTAGTGCTGTCGGAAAGCTTGAAGGAAAAGCACGAAAATCATCCGTAAAAATAGACGTCCTTTTAGGGTTAGGGTCAAGGGTTTTTTGAAACTTTTTTTTCTTACATTTTTTGCTAAAATGCAATTGGGAAAAGGTATGATTGAGCGAATTTTGCCCATATTTTGAGTCTATCGAATTTTTCGTTTACGTGCTTCTACGCGAAGAAAAATCGCTATTTGTATGACGGTCGAAAATTTGCCGGAAAGTAAAAGTTTCCCAAAATCGAGCCCGTAATTTGGCGTTTTTTATTAGTACACATCAGTTGGTTTTATGTAATTTCCGAAAACACTTATTAGGGAAAAGCACGAACTTTCTGTGAGCTTTCGTTTCCGGCAAATTTTCTCGTCATACAAATAGCGATTTTTCTTCGCGTAGAAGCACGTAAAGGAAAAATTCGATAGACTCAAAATATGGGCAAAATTCGTTGCTTTCGTTTCCGGATCGCATACATATTACTAAAAAGAAAAGTTTGAATCCCCTATTGGTGAGAAGCCATTTTACTCGTAAACTATTCAAATCGCCCTATTGTGTCGAAGTCAAAATTGTGGGTAAATTCGATAGACTCAAAACATGAGCAAAATTTTACTCGTAAACTATTCAAACTTTACTTTGTGTACATTCTACCGTAGTCTCAGTTGTGTCGAAGTCTAAATTGTGGGTAAATTCGATAGACTCAAAATATGGGCAAAATTCGTTGCTTTCGTTTCCGGATCACTTACATATTACTAAAAAGAGTATGAAGATTCAGAAGTTGAAATCCAAATCTCCCAAAGAAGCTTGCAAAAAAAATGAATTGAAATTTCGAAGATAAGCTTTAAAGGGCGCTTTTCAATGACTCGATTGTTGGGCACTGGTGGCCTAGTGGATAGTGAGATGGGCTCTCGGTCCATAAGATCGGGGTTCGAGCCCGCTCTTGGTTTTTTGGTTTTTAGATTTCTTTAAATGTAATACTTTGCAGGTTTTTACCATTGCATTTTTCATCTATGAGATATAGTGAAAAGTGGTACTTCCGCTAAGAAAACCCGTAATTTTAAATGCAAATTCGGATTCTCCATCAAAAATTGACCTTAGAAAAGTGTTTTTATTTTCACTCATTGCTCATTGTGATGTAAATCGTACGCGTATCGTTTGACGCATTTGCAAGCTTATTTGGGAGATTTTGATTTCAGATTATGATACTGGATCTCGATCTGAATCTCGATACTGGATTTAGTAAGGTGTGTGTGATTTGGAAACGAAAGCTCACGGGAAGTTGGTGCCTTTCCCCCTTAGTTAGCTAAATTGAGCGGGGGCGGATGATAAAAACTCTCATCACAGATCACCGATAAGCGACGCTTTTGGATGTAAAAAAAAAGGAAAATGAAAAAGAAACGTCTCAATTTTCAAAAAATCGCTGCTGATCTTTTCGATTACTTTGCTTTCTCTCTCTTTGCGTGTTTGTTGATAAATTCGCGAAATTCGTACAAAAGAAAAGGGTCAAGTAAAGGAAGGGAAAGGGATATAAGGGCATCGCATTGAAATCGGGAATTGTGAACTTTTGAATTTCTTTAATGTTTTGATCACTGTAATTCTAGCTACTGTAGCTACTGTAGCTACTGTAGTCTTATCTAGAGTGTGCTCCTTGTTGACAGACAATTTGTCAGACAAATTTTCATTGACAACTTTTTTGTCAGACAATTGATCCGACAAACTTCCGACAACGCGTTTTCTAAAAGGTGCGCTTTTTAAGCAAAGCTATAAAGGCCGCGCGAAAAAAAATGTGCAAAATTTTCTGAAAATATAGTAATGGATAGTTTTATTTAAGGATTTAGGTTTTTTGGGGCGTGAAATTTTTTTTGGAATGGTTCTAGTGCAAATGTAGACAATAGGCCTGGTAAATTCGGAAATAATATAATTTTTTAATAGTGTTTCTTAACTTTTCCCGTTTTAAATGTTTTCTTTAATTTTAAATAGCATTTAAAAATTTTTAAGTTTTAGCGAAAGAGTAATAGAGTTAAGGAAAGAGTAATAGAGTTAAGGAAAGAGTAATAGAGTTAAGGAAAGAGTAATAGAGTTAAGGAAAGAGTAATAGAGTTAAGGAAAGAGTAATAGAGTTAGGGAAAGAGTAATAGAGTTAGGGAAAGAGTAATAGAGTTAAGGAAAGAGTAATAGAGTTAAGGAAAGAGTAATAGAGTTAAGGAAAGAGTAATAGAGTTAAGGAAAGAGTAATAGAGTTAAGGAAAGAGTAATAGAGTTAAGGAAAGAGTAATAGAGTTAGGGAAAGAGTAATAGAGTTAGGGAAAGAGTAATAGAGTTAGGGAAAGAGTAATAGAGTTAAGGAAAGAGTAATAGAAAAAAGAGCGCAAGATTTTAATGTACATTTGCATTTTGAAAAATTTGCTGATGCAGGGTTACGGTAGCTTATCCTTGGCGCGCGCTTTTTAGAAAACGCGTTGTCTGCAAGGAACACACTCTAGTCTTATCCCCCGGCATAGCTCTTCAGATCATACGCTTCTAGCTTCACTGGCTTTAAGTTAGTTCACCTTACTCTAGCTTTTACGACTACTGGCTTTCACCGGGCAGTTATGAAAATTGCCCTGAATTCTCTTTTCTTTGAGTCTTTTAAATTTCTTTACAACAATTCTTGTAGAAGAAAATGAGCCGAATCAAATTTTACACTTTTTATCTTTTTTTGAATGAACAAATGGCATACTTTAAAGCTTTAAGTTTTTTTCTTTGTCACATTTGATTTCACATTCATTTAAATTCAAATTTAGCAATGCTGAAATTGGTTGTCTTTTGCGTGTGTGTGATTGTTTTTGTAACAGCACATGGTGATGGGGAAAAGGGAAAACGACATCACCGACACGAATGGGTTCGTTTGAGGGGAAAGATTTGCAAAAACTTTTAAAATCAATTCAAGTTCACGAAATTCCTCGCCACTTTGCCCGAGGATCAGCGCAAACAAGTCGAGGAGATCAAGAGCAGCACGGTGAGTCGGCAATCGACTTTGTGCACGCTTTTTCCGAACACTGTTACTGATTGGGGTACTCTAAAGAGAGCCCTAGCTACCGTAGCCCCTTGTAGCGTTGATGAGACGATGCTACATGGGCTCTACGGGCTACAACAATGAGACGATGGCATCAATGCAACAAGGGCTACGGTCTACAGCAGACGATAGCATCAATGAGCCGCAGCGGGCAATGAAGCTTTTTTTGATTACGGCACACTTTAGAACACTTTAGGGCTTTAAAGCCAATGCACACGTGACTAGTAATTAGCCTTCTTTTTTCTTACTTTCTTACCTTCTTGCCTTAATTAATCAAGTCTCTAAAACGGAAAAGCTTTAGCCGGATCGCAAGGAGCGTCGCGAGAAGCTACACAAATTCTTTGAGAGTCTCCCTGCCGACAAACGACCACACTTTCCGCAACCGAAATTCGTCGAGAAGTTGCCCGCTGATATTCAAGTACGGTAGCTGATTGACTAGAGAAATTGCTCTTAAGCAATTCATTTTCTAAAAGACACTACTCTAGATAAACTACCATAATCCAGTTACCATTTTTCACTTGATCCCAATTTTAAATACCGTATTATCTCTAATAGTAGTGCACCCAGCCGAGCCGAGTTGATCACTATTTTACAGTTTCAAAGTTTTCCCAGAAGCTCAACACTCAAATCCCCCACTAGATCTCATCGTCAGCTACATTTCCCTTCCCACATCGATAGGTTCTGATAAGCGCTTCTCGAGATTTTGAGGAATTTGGGCAACGCTTACGGTGCACGACTATTAAAGAGAATCCGGTAGTTACTAAATTAACTCACAAGGAATACCGTTGTCTCTCTAATAGTAGTGCAGAGCACCGAGCCGAGTTGATGCCTATTTACTATTTTTTCTGATAAGCGGTTCTCGAGATTTCAAGCAATTTAGGCGACGCTTACGGTGCACTACTATTAGAGAGAATACGGTATTTGCGAGGAAATCATAAGTTTCATTGAATTTGGGGCTGAATTGAATGAAAACTCGTGGATGGATTACAGTAGTTTGTCTAGAATAGTGTCTTGCCTAAGATTATCGAGAAATTCGTTTCCTAAAAGTTGTGTAATTTCTGGAAACCCTACCGTATTCTTTCCTACAGATTTTCTTTTTTTTTTCATTCAATTTTCATTCTTTTCTATGAGCAAATGGGGATTTTAGGTAGAATTTGACGGAATAAAATCAAGGAAAAAGATTGGTAGATTTGTCGGCAAATTATGCGTCTTTTTTAGGATTAGCTGAACGCTCGACGGGTAGAGTAGCTACTGTAGCTTTAGAAAAGAAGAAAAGAAACCTACTCTTAGTTGTTTCGAAAGCAATCAAATTTAAGCTTTAGGCTAAAATCAAAGCCGTTCACGAGGATCGATCAATCCAATTCAGGGATCGATTCAAGAAGATTCGGGTTTGTTTCGAAAAATATCGAAAGTAAATCGAAATATAGAAATATATAGAAATATATAGAAATATATAGAAACAAATAAAATTCATGATTCAGGAAATTCTGGACTCGTTGCCTGAGGATTTAAAGAAATTAGTCCCTCAGCGTGGACCCTTTAAACAGTGAGTTTTACATGAAGGAAAACAATTAGTACAGTCGAACTTCTCGATAACGTTAGCTGCCCAATTTGGTGCAACCGTTGCCCCGCACAGGGCAGCAGCAGCAGCTACGCGGAAAATGTGCGGCGCTTTTTCGAAGCTTTGTATAGATGTTATCGTTCTCAGCCCCTTCGATATCGTTATCGCGAAGTTCGACTGTAGATACCGAAAATTGCCTTAGCAATTCGAATTGTCCTTAAACGTTAAAAATCTCTCGAAAATTTGCATATTACAGTGGTCACGTTGAGAGCAGCGAAGAGAACTGAAAGAAAGAGAATCATTCAATATTTTGTGAGGAATAAAAGATTTTTAATGAAAACTTTTGGATTTATAAAGAAAAGCGAAAATTTATGTGAATCTATGAAAATCCTCGAATCGGACAATAAAAATAAGAAATCAAAAAAAAACCTAACTGCTGAATAGCTTCTTTTTGTCAAAAGAAAAAGAAAGTTTAACTGTACAAATGAGTTGCGAGCGTTACGGCCTTCGAGCGTTACGGCCTTCGAGCGTTACGGCCTTCGAGCGTTACGGCCTCCGAGCGTTACGGCCTTCGAGCATTACGGCCTTCGAGCATTACGGCCTTCGAGCATTACGGCCTTCGAGCATTACGGCCTTCGAGCATTACGGCCTTCGAGCGTTACGGCCTCCGAGCGTTACGGCCTCCGAGCGTTACGGCCTCCGAGCGTTACGGCCTCCGAGCGTTACGGCCTCCGAGCGTTACGGCCTCCGAGCGTTACGGCCTCCGAGCGTTACGGCCTCCGAGCGTTACGGCCTCCGAGCGTTACGGCCTCCGAGCGTTACGGCCTCCGAGCGTTACGGCCTCCGAGCGTTACGGCCTCCGAGCGTTACGGCCTCCGAGCGTTACGGCCTCCGAGCGTTACGGCCTCCGAGCGTTACGGCCTTCGAGCGTTACGGCCTTCGAGCGTTACGGCCTCCGAGCGTTACGGCCTCCGAGCGTTACGGCCTCCGAGATATCAATCAAATCCTCTTCTTTAGTGGGCAATTTTTCAGCTGGCTTGCTGGTTTTTTGTAAAATCTAGGACATTCGTGTAAGCTTTAGCAGCAGCTTAAAAGGGAATTATGCAATTTTTGAAGTTTTTATGCTTTTTATCCACTTTAAAAGGAATTGTGGTGGGTAGCCTAAAAGGAAACTTTGTGGGTGATCTAAGAGGAAACGTGGGTGGTATAAAAGGAAACGTTGTGGGTGGCCTAAAAGGAAATTTTGTTGGTGATCTAAGAGAAAACGTGATGGGTGGTCCCGTGCCTTTCTCTTTTCCATCCATTCCCCACCCCGCATTCCCTTTTCACACAACAACCTATAGTCACACAGTGAAAGCATAGTCGTATTCGGGTGACTTTCTAAGCACAAACATATGTATCTATGTTACGTCCGGATCTTATTCGGACGTCAGGATCGGATCCGGACGTCAGGGTCGGATCCGGACGTCCGAATCCGGTCATTGATTGTCTTGTGGTCGATTTCGCACGTCCGAATCCGGTCATTGATTATCTTGTGGTCGATTTCGAACGTCCGAGTCCGACCATACTTAAGATAAATCCTAATTAACCAACTTTTAATGCTAATTGGCCAAACTTATCAAACATAATTATTGAAAGGGGTATTTCCTCTAATAAAGGAACTAATAGTAAGTCACTTACACAATTGTTGCACCTTCGTTAGCCTTTATCAAAAACTAAAGTGCTTTTAAAAGATTTGGTGTATTGATTGACATCAACTCACCTTCATAAACTTATATCCGACTCTAAACTAGCAAAAAAACAGGGTGTGTCTATAATTTTTCGACAGATTGTATATATATATGTTATGTCCGATTTAGACTCAGTTGTTGTTTTATGTTTTACAGAAGTTTTCAGAATTTTTTTTATCGGTTGTGGATTGGAAACAAGTTTATTTTTAGAACAAACAACCAAAGATGCAAAAACAACAAAATTGAACAATACATAATCAACTTAAATTAGACTGCAACAACTGTAATTTTTTGTACAATGTTTCAAAAACGAACGCAATCGCAACACTGCATTCAACTTTTTTTTTCCTTATTTAATTCAAATTAACTTTATTTAATCCCTCAAAACATTTTTGATTCCCCGATCACTTACTTATTTTATGTTTGAGTAGCAGTAAAAAAACACAATCAAGTTAGGTAAGTCGAGACTAGAAATTTAATAAAGATGCCATTAGCCAGTCGGCCCAGTTCATTCTTCACATAATGAAAGTATTATAAACGATTGTCAAGGACGCTTCTACTTTAAATACTTCTATACCTTCAACAATTTATTATTAAAAAAAGAAATATAATCATAATCGAAACGTAATCATAAATATCACAGACATTTTAAATTTGTTGATATCCTTTATCCTGGAGATACTTAATGAATTCCGTTGATAGAGTTGAGTCGCGAAGCTCCAAATACAAATCCACTTCGCGATCTACGTCGTTCCGATTCACTTGAAGATCCTTCAACTTCAGCGTTGACCGAGCTCCCATTGGCATCTAGTTCGGCTCGTTCATCACGCGGTTCTTTGAAGGATTCCCTGTGTTCTTCGTTTTTGCAACGAGCCCGATATTCCTCAAATCCATCAAGCGATTTCCCGTCGAGATCCATATCTGAAAAAATAAAAATAATAAAGTAAAAGGGGGGAGGGGTGGCTACTCTGCGCCAAATTCTTTGCGCAACTCTCCATAGCTTTCTTCTAAGTGGGCCAATCTTTATGATTTTGATGTTACTTTGTTACACTTTTTGAGATCTACAATCTACAAGCATAAAGATTGGCCCACTTAGAAGAAAGCTATGGCGAGCTGGGCAAAAAATTTGACGCAAAAGTAGCCACTCCAAATTTGGCGCAAAGTAGCCACTCCAAATTTATGGGATAAAATTAAAAAACAAACGATTTCTGAAAATACATGAAAATTTTCCGCTTTAAAAGCGTTGTTTGTAATTACGCGTTAGGTGGGGTACTATTAGAGGGGTGGGATCCAATTACAGTATTTACGGTAGTAGTTTGGGGGTGGGTGCGACCTTTTTTTTTGCTGGAAAAGGCCTTAGGAAAGGTCGTAGAGCTTCGAAAATGTTTTCACGGAAGGAAATCGTATGCGTAGATTCCGAATTTCGACAAATCAGACCTCGCTGACACTTCAAATTTGGGCTAAAAGGCAAAAACTACGCAACTTAACGCTTTTCCGCAGTTTTTACCCTTTAGCCCAAATTTGACGTGTCAGCGAGGTCTGATTTGTCGAAATTCGGAATCTACGCATACGATTCCCTTATATGGAAATATTTTCGAAGCTCTACGGCCTTGCCTAAGGCCTTTTCCAGCAAAAAAAAGGTGCGCAAAAAAGGTAGCATTTGTCCCACCCCCAGTAGTTTTAAACATTTTTTGGTTTTGTGGATGGTTATGTTTAGGCAGATTGTCCATTATTGTTTTAGTGTCTCTAATTGAAGGGCCTCATTATGCTACTAAATTCTTTTAAGCTGCTAATGCATTTTACTCATCTGCTTTATGATGTTTTTGTTCGGGCTTTTCGTGGATTCTTTTTCAGTATCTTGATTTCTCATTCTAATATCCTATTTTAGTTGGCGCAACATGGCAACTCAACTCTGTTTCTTCGAAGACTTCGATTCGCTTGAAGTGACGCCAAACTATCTGGAGCTGGGTCATAGAGCCAAGCTTTTTCGTTTTGTTTTCCCCGATAATCGCGACCTTCGCAAATTTTCGGTGAAAACAATTGGAGGGACCCAGATTACAATGGCTGAAATGTTATTACAGGTTGATCATTTTCATTTCAGACTCGATTAAATTTTTATAAAATCAACCCTGTGAAACCTGATAGGGAGAGATTGGTTAGATGTTATTGATCTATTTGTCTTTAGGCTAATGGTGGCGACTCTTGGTTTGACCTTCCTTCTGTGGCCCTATGCGTCGAATTTACCGATGTCATGAAGTTTGCCGATTTTGTAACCAAAATCGGAAATCTTGCGCATTACCAACAGGTGATTTTTTACGCGTTTTGATCCTTACGAAGGTTGATTTATATTGTTATAGCTATTATCCAATTCGCTATCGGAATCTTTGACTTAACTATTACAAGAATCAACGATAACAACTCATCAATTGATTAATTTTAGTTGGTTCTACCTCGTGACGACTCGGAAGTTGATGAGGATGAGGACTTCGAGGATGAAAACGATTTCGATGTGGAGGGGAATTGATGGCCATGAGAAGTCGGATGAACAAATGTTGGTTATATTTAAGTTACGTTGAATAAAGGTTTCCATGAATTTCTCTATATCAATTTGATTGCATGTATTTTAATTCATTTTATCGGAATCCTTTTAGCTTCTTTTCTTATGTGACTATGTAGAATAAAAATCATTTTCAGCCTCACGATGAATCCAATGTACAGCGTTCTTGTGGACTACACTCGAGTGGATGTGACTCAAGGATATATCGAGATTGCTGTGGACGGCAAGACCCTACGCTTCACTCAAAATGCACCACGGCGTTACACAACAAGGCAGAACAAATGTCCCAAATTGTCTAAAGACAAAACTGCCGCCATCTTTATTCCAGGCGTAATCCTTCAGGTTATTTTTATCACATTTCAATTGGACTTTAATCTAACTGCAATTAGTTTTAATTTCTCTAATTTTAAGGGAAAGCGTCAAGCCGCGCAGCAATATGACGACGTTTGTGATGTGGACTTGTACATCGAAATTGAGGATGCTGATCTTGTTAGTCCAGTGACGAGCGCCCTTAAGCGTGTAGGTTATGCCCCCTATTAAGGTTAGTTTTTTTGATTGTAACAGCTAGTTATCATTGTATAATTGACTTTCATTATTATCCTATTCTTTCCTACAACCCTTTTTGGGTTATTGATAGAAAGGTAATAGAAATATGCATGATCGTAAATTGTAAATAAATCGTTTGAGTTTTTTAAGATAAGATTTGTATTAAGAGTTAGTGAAATTTTGAGATTAGATAATCTAAATTGCAACTTCTATCACGACAATCAATCAAATGTTTCATTTTTAGTTGCCCGTCTTCATTTCATCAAGATAAGGATCAATGTTTTTCAAGATCAATGTTTTTCAAATTCTCTGTTCGTGCTAAAATAAATTTTGTTGTTTAATTCTTATTTGCTCACAACTCAAGATTTGAAATTTAACGGTTTCTGCCTGATACTACAGAACAGAAAAGGATACTCGCGAAGTCTCGACAAGTTGACGTTCAAATTGAGACGGGATAAGCGCTTAAATCTTTTCACAAATGAGTGTTATTCTAGTAATGTGCTGAAGGAGTTTAGTGAGGTGTCATCATCTGAGCTTTTGATCGACCTGATGCGCTCATCCGACGCAGAGTGTGGCGATCATCGACCAATTTTGAACGTTGACCCCCTCCGTCCATTGGCCCTACTAGCAGATGTGTTTCCGATTGGAATAAATGATTTAATATGGGTTTGATTGTTTAAAATTCTTTATAGTGATAAGCTGCTGCATTCTCTTGCGGATGAACAAGAAAAACACGGTGATTTGGCGTTAGTCGAAAAGCTACATGAGAGTTACGGTAATTGTAAGCTTTTAAAGTTAAAGTTAAAATGATTTGTCTAGATCAATTGGCCAGGAAAATGGGGGTTCAGCCCAAACCTAAATAGACTTAGTGCGAGGCGCTAGCAGCTAGCCTTCGCACTAAGCCTCAGCCTCAGCCTAAGCCTAAGCCTTCGCACTAAGCCTAAACCCAAGCCTCAGCCTAAGCCTCAGCCTAAGCCTAAACCTCAGCCTAAGCCTAAACCTCAGCCTAAGCCTAAGCCTCAGCCTAAGCCTCAGCCTAAGCCTGAGCCTAAGCCTGAGCCTAAGCCTAAGCCTAAGCCTAACCTCAGCCTAAGCCTAAGCCTAAGCCTAAGTCTAAGCTCTTAGCCAGTAGCGCATCGCCGACTTCTTCGACGAAAATCAATAAAAAGTAAAAAATATAAGGTAAATTTCTAGCTAAAGTTATAGATAAGGTTTTTCTTTTGCATTGATTTGTTATTTTTCAATTTCTAGGCCATGCACTCCATTTCCCACAAATCGCGCGTTCCCATAGCAACCTGTCAACTGTTTTCTTTTAGAAATTTCTCATTGTCAAATTCATTTTTGAATTCTTATATTTATTTAAATATGGTAAGTTTTTAAAGATTTAAAATAAGATTTTCATGTTTCTTTTTTAGATTTTATCTCGTCTTAAACCAGGAAATGCCATTCGTAGAAAGGAGGATCGAGATCGGAGAAAAAAAGTGCGAAAAATCAGCGAAATCAGCGAAATCCTTAATATATTCTATTTATTTCAATTAAATAATAATTATAGCTTTTAAACATTTAAAAAATTGAGTTTTTTTAGGTTATCAGAAGAATTTAACCCTAAAGCTTTCATGGAAAAAGCTGGGGTTTCGCTATTTTGTTTTTTTTTAATCTATTTGGTTGGGAGAAAGTTCTTGGAAAAAGTTTGCACAGTGATTTCTTAAAAATTAACCCATAAATTGTTCCCTAATTTTTTGATAAACGACTAGATTTCAAATAGTTTTTAACAACCTAATCTAATATGCAAATCTAGAATAGATTTCAAAAATTTAAAATCGATTTGTAATCGATTTGAAATCAATTTATTTATCAAATTGTTGAAATTTCTTTCACTTTTTCTATTTACAGGTACCGGAACTCGACGAGTTTCTCTCGATCCGCGACTACCAGGGAGCATTGGCCATTTTGGAGGTTCGAGAAAATCGTTTTTAAAGTAAAACTTGAGTATTTTATTTTAATTAAAGATTTAATGCATTCTACAGCGTGCCATAGTGTACCGTAATACAAAAGAAACGATTGTGAAACTTTGATGAACCCTTTGATGAGCTATTTCAATCGATTCACAATCAAGTGAATCGATTCAATAAAAATAGAGACAATATTACGCTAAAAAGAGAAAAGGGGGCACGTTTTAGGATTTAAGTTTGATAAAAATTCCCACGGACCCGCATCAATCATGGCCGACTGGCTACGAGCTTTGTCCCTTAGTCGAGAGGCCAAGGGTTCAATCCCGCTGGAAGGTTTTTGATTTTTTTTACATTTAGGACTTAGGATTGTGTATTTGTTTTGTACCAAATTATTCGTATGAGTTAAATGTAGCTTTTATTGTACACAATGTAGACATGATTTCAGTTCAAAGAGAAAAACGGGGAACGTGATGGGGCAACGGATCTCTGGACGGGGCATTGCCTGTTTCGCTCTGGAGACTATAAAAAAGCGTTGAAGGTAATCTAAAAAAGCAAATAAAAGTAAATAAATTCAATAATTTGTATGTTATTTTGTTCTTTCTTTCCTGTTTTTGATGGATGATTAATTTCTATGATTCCAATTTCTATGATATCAGAGACCTCTAATCAGTCCAATTTCTTTGATATCAGAGACCTAGAATCAGTCTAATTTCTTTGATATTAGTGACCTCTAATGAGTCCAATTTCTATAATATCAGAGACCTCTAATCAGTCCAATTTCTTTGATATCAGAGACCTCTAATCAGTCTAATTTCTTTGATATCAGAGACCTCTAAGCAATCCAATTTCTATGATATCAGAGACCTCTAATCAGTCTAATTTCTATGATATCAGAGACCTCTAAGCAATCCAATTTCTATGATATCAGAGACCTCGAATCAATCGAATCTAACATCAGTTTTATTAGATAAATGCATAAACACCTAGGCAAAATGACTAAATTTCTAAGGAGTATTAGATAGTTTCTTTTTCATTGTATAAATCACTTTTCCCAAGATGAACCTGAACAAGGAGTAGACATTGTGATAAATTCAACCCAGAAGAACAACTACAGTAATAATTTTCTTACTTCATAGCCTAGTTTCATGAAATTCCCGAATTCAGCTCTACGAATGGATGCTTTCACAAGAGAATTGCCCTCGTGAAGTTCATACTTATGCTGGCTGTTGTTTCTTCTTTTTGGGAATGTACGTCGAGGCGAGGGATGCAGCTGATAAAGGTTTTCTTTTTGGAGTTTTGTGTTTTCATTTGAATCCAAAAGATATTCATTTAGGTGATTCGAATTTTAAATCACGAACCTTAGGCTTAAGATTTAATATGCATGCATTGGTTTTTTGAGAGTCACATTGAGTTGCTTGTTTTTTTAATGTGTTTTGTTTAGTTTACAGTAAGAAATGTGATTTCAAGTGTCACGCACAGCTAATTAAAGTATTCTTTTTTTTGTTTCAATTTTTTGTTTTGTTTATTTGAGTTTGAAATTTGATAAGAAAAAATCATTTGGATCAGCTGATGAAATGATCTGAAGCCAACATGGACCAGCTTGGATCAGCTGATCAAATGATCTGAAGCCAACATGGACCAGCTTGGATCAGCTGATCAAATGATCTGAAAAGTACACGTCATGCATGTCATGAAATGTCATGACATGCATGACATGCTCAATTCTATTCCACTAACACATTAAACGAATCCCTCCCCAGCACCACCACCGTTTTGCATGTTCTCTTTTGTTCCATTCCGCCCACCCCTCCACCCAAGGATAGCGGTTTTCTAACGAAGTCAATTCTAGCTGAAAGGAGTGCCCTACAGAATCGATTGCTGTTCTATGTGGCGCACAAATTGGCCGACGAGAAACGATTGTTGCAACACCATGCACAGTTGAAGGTGGGAGATAGTGGCTTACTACTAGACCGAGATTCTATGTCTATCCGTCGATTCTGGTATCACAACAAGTCCGCGCCAAGCGTGACAACGCCTAGACCTGGTTGACTTGTCTTACTTGAGCTTTCTTACAAATCTGGGGGAACTCAGCCAGAGATCCCCGCAGTAAGTGTACTGCAGAGATCAATAAATAAACAAGGCTTACAATTCGTTTCTAAAGTGAAAGTGCCAACTCGTCACACTAAAAGCTTTTTTTTTTGATTAAAATTATCTAAAGCCCAGAATCTTGTACTAAAATTCGAAGTTTAAAGTTAGTATAATTGTTTTTGGATTGCTAAAGCTCGAAAACCCAGCTCTCCCTTTGCAGGATTCGATCGAAGATCAGCTCTGTCTTGCCTCATTGCATTACCTCCGCAATCACTACCAACAAGCTGTCGATATTTACAAAAAGATCTTGAGCAATAATAAGTGAATATTTGAAATCGATGTTAAACGTGAAAGTTCTCAGAAATTTCATCGCGCTCAACGTCTACCTCGCGTTGTGCTACTACAAGTTAGACTACTACGATGTGGCTTTGGTGGGTAAAGGCTTCATTCAAGATTACTGTAGCTTTAACACTTGCAAATCTAACCCTAACATTCGTAGGAAGTCCTCCAAGTCTACTTGCGCCAATACCCGGATAGTGCGGCGGCGCTGAACCTCAAAGCGTGCTGTATCTACAAGCTTTACACGGGACAAGCTGCTGAGGTTTGTTCACGGATACAAAATCTGTACTGTTTTCTAAAGAGTGCCCCGGCTACCGTTATCCAGCTACCCTTTAATGAAGAATCTTGACAGAATTCATCTAAAGGTTTAGCCCAGTTAAATCCAGATAGACTCATTAAAATGAATGGCTCCAATCGGCTCGCCGACCCTAAAAACCCCCGGGTACAAGTTCTCAGCTGAATATCTTTTTGTGCCATCCATAAAGGAAAAGAAGGAAATCTCTATAAAAATGACTGGCGATGTGTTCTTTGCGCGGCCGCGTGATGAGCCGGCTTCGCCGTTTTGCGTGCTTGCTTTGCGGCTATGCCCTAATTTTCTGGGATCAATTTTCCCCTTAAAATGGCTTTATTTCTACAAATTCTGCATCCTTTTAAAGCATTGACAGCATCTAAACTGAGAGAACGACGCTCAGAACCCTTTGTCTCTTGATTTCCTCAGGATTGGTTAATCCAATCAACCTCTAAAACTTTTGTCCAGGACTTTTTACCCGAAATTTCCGGTCCGATCCGACACATCCCGCACACTCCTGGTGCATACGTAATAAAGAATTAAATAAATAAATAAGTTTACAAAAGGTATAACAAATCATGAATCAAACGAAAACTTTAA